GCAATTCCAGCAGGAGACAGATACAAAGTTGACAGCATGAGGAATAGGCCCAATGAAGTTACCGTTAAAAACTTACCATCTCATTTGAAAGAAAGCATTTCCCACAAATGGTGAGCCTTAGCTGAAGGAAAATAGTTCCTGCAATATTCAGACCTTGCAAGTGAGACATATATGTTCGGTGACCTCTAAAGGATAGTAAGTTTTGTTTGCGTCACCAGGTCATTTCACCAGGAGGTGGAAAGTGGGAAGGAGACTTTGCCATCTTGACCATTCCGTCACAACCCAGAGAGCACCCTCTTCCCCCTCTATGGCAACCAACAGAGCCAAACCATTTTTCTTTGAAGAAATTCCCGCAAAGCAAGTTTTAGATTCAGGAAGATTCCTATTATAGAACTACATTAATCAAATCTTGTAAACATAATGAAAGTCATTAACTTCAACCTGCCAGTTACAGTCCAGTCTTACTAACTCGCTAAAAGAACTTAAACGTTAATTGTACCATATAAGCATTTTGTGTTCATAAATAAGGAAGTCTCAACCTTCAAGATGGCTATTGCTACAAATTGTATTTAACACCTCCGTTCGATTGCAAAATAAGGAAAAGATTCAAGAAGACAACAGTCCACTAATGGAATTACCAGTTTGTCAACAGAATTTTACTTTAAAAAAAAAAAAATCCAAAACAAAAAACCAACAACAACCAAACCACTTTTCAACATGTGCAACCCAATATTCACAACAGTCAGTCAGTGTTTGTTCGTTCAGTGTGAAAGAAAGGCTTTAAAAACAAAACAAAACAAACCCAGGTACATAAAGTAACTTCTTGAAACCATCAGATCTACACAAATTATACTGCTGTTAAAAAAAAAAACAACAGAAAAACAAATGATCAAACCCAAAACAAAAACAAAAAACCTGCCAAAACCCCAGACCAACAAGCATCACCATTTCTACAAGCATCTAAACTATTCCAGATATACTGGATTCCAGATCATGCCTTGCAATGGGAAAGTCCTTCACAGCCTAGAATAAATTCAGAGCATTTCTGAAGCACAGAGGCATGCGTGTCTGTTTTTTTCTATGAGTGCGCCATGTAAGAACAGAGTCAAATAGAGCAGACATCTGGTACAGAGGTGCTGGGGAGGCCATAGGGTTTGAAAAGGAACAGAAGCACTGGGCTGCCTCAAGCTCAAGCACAACAAATGAGCCAAACAAAATTGCTGTTTTCATCAGAAGCAATCCAGAGGAAGACTAGCCCATGCCAGTCTCCAAAGTAACATCTGAAATATTTCTCATCAGCATCATCTCAAAAATACAGCAATGTGAGAAGGGTTGTGGAGGGTAAGGTATGTAGAAGCAGAGAAGACGAACCATGTATCCAAGATATTCAGTTCACCAGCAGCAAGCTAAATAACCATTAACAACCTACTCCAGTAGTACATCCTAAAGGAATATAAAAATATATCTAAGGCTTTCCAGAATAAAATACCATATGCTTATGAGAAATCTTATGTGACCTGCAGAAAACAAGAACAGTTGCTCTACATAGGACAGCTCTCAAGTGACTGAGAAACCTGAAATGGCAAATGCATGCAAGTGGGAGTATATTTTTGCCTGTGAGAAGTTCCCGTTACTAGTTTGCTCCCTGAAACAGATCAAGCATAACAGACACAATGGATCAAAAAAGCTAGCTAACTATCATGTTATTTAGGCAATATAAAAAAAAAAAATAAGAAAAATAAGAAAGTCCTTAATTCAGGTTGGGAGTGTAAGAAATCTAACATACAGAAATTTTTAAATTAAACAGGCTATGAAATACAAGTATATAGCCAAGCAGCATCACTTTATTAAACGCCATTCCAAAGCCCTACAGTGCAAGCAGATATTTTTACAGAAAACAGAAATAAATACATTGTCATTCTGGACAGTTCTTTAACAATTACATTTTTAACCCAGCAAACCACTGAAAAATGTAATTCCTTCTGTAACCAAAGAAATAACAGAGCATTAGCTGAGATATCAATGATTCTTCCTTCAGTCTTTGAAAGATCATTCCACAATTACTGTTAGAAAATGCTGTATTTAGTATTGCAGTCAATTGTCACAAAAACACAGTAAATGGAAGTGAATAGCTCAGTGTCGGAAAATGCTTGGTCAAAGTGTTTAACCAACAGAAATGCAAGTCTTAGCAACCTGAAAGTTTTGTATTAGAAAGTCCCTCGGCCAAATACCCTGTACCTATGGACACCCCACCTCAACAAGCACATTTAAGAGCACCAGCAAAGTTACCACTGCTATGACAAAGAAAAGCAGCAGCAGTCATGTCAGTCTGTTCCTGCAGATCTGAACCAACACTTGCAACCATATGCAAAGGCAGACGTATCCTGAGTATGCAAGAACAGGCACAGTTACCCACTTCACAGGTCAAGACAAAGTCTGCAGCAGTTAATGCTCCCAACCTGAGGCAACCTGAGGCAAAGAGCACTGCGAGACAAAGTCTGACCTGGAGGTGGGAAGTATACATTAAGGTATTTCTTTCCTCTTTACAAAAAGTTAGAGAGAGGATAAAAAGTAATTTTTAAAAATATTATTAGATCTCTTTATTTTTCTACATTGAGATTGGCTGCAGCAAGGTGTATAATCTGTTCATTTGCCTTTTTTCTATACACTATCCTGCAACGTAAAGTAATTCACAATAAAAAAAGAATTCAGAAATGTGATCAGCATTCCGTTTTAAGTCTAATATCATTCTTAGATTATAATAATTTTAGCACGTTATTGCATATTCATCCCGTTAGAACTTTTGATGATAGGATCATAAACTATTTCTTTCTAAGAGACAGACACCTTACTAAGTAAACAAAATTGGTATTGCTCACAAACTACTATTTTGTATTTTCTCCTGTCTTCATTTTTCAGCATGTGACCCTAGACCTTATTTTCCACACACTGCCAAAACCCTGCTCTGAATACAGAATTATTAGTTTTCCCCATTGACTTTTCTAGTGCTCATTATTTCAACATGCAACTAAGTCATAAGAGTCCTGTGGGTGACAAAAGGATACTATATCCATTCTGCAGAAGAAAAACTGAACCAGAGAAATTAAGGACAACTTCATTTGCTACAATCAGGCACTGAAATTCAAATACCTAAATACAGCATATACAATAACCCACTGTATACACAATAACCTCAGCTACAGCGTCCTTTTCACCCCAGCTTCTTCATCATTTTGTGTCAGCAACATCATATTAGCCATCTATTAAGTCCAAGTGACTAATACACCATTAATCAAGAAATCTGGAATAAATGCATAACTTGGGGGGTGAGGAAGAGGGGGAGGGAAAATCCACACTCTAATACTGCATTCAACTGCCGCAACAATTAGACCAACTTCTCCTCACCCTCCTTCATTATTTTACTTACCATTTATTTATAATTATTATATTTATCATATAATGGTGCGCAATAGCTGCAACAAGTAAAGAGGTTTTGCGGATAACACCACTTTCTTTTTTACCAGACAGTTTTGATTCATACTCCAAGCAAATCCATTTTGCAGAATGGGTCACAGAGCAACCCTGGGGAAGCAGCAGTGTGCAGACATAAACTATGAAAAGCCTGCAAAACAAGGGGAGGCTTTTACAGAAAACTCCTTGATGCTACTTTCAATACAATTTGGGTTTCTGACTTTGTGTTTTTGTAGTGATTGGGTGTATTCAATCCTCCAGATTTAAAATCTGGGAAGACAAAAAAGGACAACTTCGAGAGTCAGAATTCTAGTTTCCATTCTAGTACCCTAGGCAAAAGCAGCTGGCAGCAGTTTTCCTATAACCATAAGATCATTTGTTTTGTCATTTGTGCATGCAGAATCACACATGAAAACTACGAAGACGACTAAGCAAGTTCTTTACATGTGAAACAATAAGCACCAACTGAATATCAAAGTGTCTGATCATAAACAAACTACATTTTTCACATTTGCAACTTGAAAAAGTTTGGCTAAGCTTTTGAATTACGAAACCAGTTGGATCCAATAGATTTGTTACATCTTCATATTTTCTCCCCCTTCCCCCAGCTCCTCCAAAGAAACACATTCATAAGGATGGAGAGATGAGAATCGTTCAATTTTGACCAGATTTCAAAATACCTTCCCCACAGCAAGGGAAGCTAGAGAAACAACTAAAATGACCAAAGTTTAATAAAATAGAGAACCTGAGGCATGGAATGTTTTAGTCCAACTAGACAGCCTCAAAAAGTTACTAGCAACTGCAAATAGGATCTTGCAATGGGAAGCACTATGCAACCCTTGCAGCATGCTGTGCTAATTTTCTATTAGAACTCCTATGCAATTCAAATATTAAGATGAAGGAAAAAAAAAAAAGAAATCATTTGAAAGCTTTATAGTTACTTCTCCAGCAGTAAAGGAAAACTTGAGAAAGAGAACCATGCTAACAGACTAGGAATAATATTTAATAGTTTTGATAAAGTGAATTCCTGCTAATGATGCAACAAGTGTGCACTGACACAGAGATCATCACTGCCGGGACACAAAAAGAGCCGATCAAAGACAGCCTTGGTTAAATATCCTGCTGGCTCAAAGACAACATTACTGACTTCAGACAGATCACCAAAGAGCTTTCGGATGGATACAGCTTTTAGTCTTCCTGTACCTGCAATAAAAAAAAAAGTGACCTTCTTTCTTCTTGATAAAGTTAACTGTTCCATCAACATTCTGGCCTATGCACAAGCCACCGTTACGATGCAAAAGCCCACCCCGCACATCTACCACTTCAGCACAGTAACAGGTACATCAGTATCAGCCACCTTCCAAAGATCCACGTGCTCAGGAACTACGACCTGATGACAGAAGTCGCTGTAGAAGTCACTTTCAGTTACCCACGAGTTTATTGCAAAAAACACCTGAACGCACCCCCGATTTCATGCTCTCGCTAACGGCAATGCAGAGAAAAGCACCGTCGCTCAGGCCCCAAACTACCTTTTGCATCGTTTTAATCCACGCACCGCCTCAGCGGTTCAAATGCTGTCTGTGACAAAGCCTGAAACAAAGACTTTATTCTTCAGCACCGGGGGAGGGAGCGGGGGGGAGAAGAAATCCCGCTTCACCCATCTAGCTCCGTCACGAGGATGTTGCCCAACGCGCACGAATTTCTCCGTCTATAGGGGGAGGCTCGTACAGCTTTCAAAAAGCAGCCTAGAGACAGGAATGCCGGTGCTAGGAGACACGGCAGCCGCCAGCTTACCGCCCTCCCCGCGGCCGGCCGAGGCTGGCGGGACGGCTCGGCTGCCGGGACGGAGGGGAGCTGGCAGGGGGGCGCCGGCGCCGCGCTCCCCAACTCCCAGGCGGGCCCGCCGAGGCCCCCACCTCACCTCGCCTCAGCCCTGTTCCCCCACCCGGCCGCCACGCCAGACCGCTACGGGCCCGCAGGAAACCCCCGCCCTGAGGAGAAAACCGCCCGGCCTGGCCCGGCCCGGCCCCGCGGGGAAGCCGCCGCCGCCCGCCCTCCGCGGAGAAAGGAAGCGGGAAGCGCGGAGCGGAGGCGGGGAGGAAGAGAGCGGTCGCAGGCCTCACCTCCTCGCCCGGCAGCCCGAACACCTCAACAGGAGAAGCCGCCATGGCCGAACAGCGCGCGCTCCCCGCAGCCCC